CCCCCCCCCCCCCTCTCTCTCTCTCTCTCTCTCACCCCCTGCCCCACCCCTCGTGCCTCTCTCCCTCCCTCCCCCTTTCTTTTCCCTCTTTCTAGCGATGTAACCCTGGACAAACAGATGTGACTTTCTGTTCAGCTATTGTTATCGGTTACCAATGGATGTTCTCCTCAGCAGCCCTCTCTCTCTCTGTGTCTGTGTGGGACTGGTCCATATAATAGAGTATCTTTCAATGCCCCTTCGCATTCTCTCTCTCTCTCTCTCCCTCTCTCTCTCTCTTTCTCTGTGTCTCTGTGGGACTGGTCCATATAATAGAGTATCTTTCAATGCCCCTTCACATTCTCTCCAATGTTGAACTAGCAGTGCCTTGTCCAGGCAAAGGGGAAAAAATAATGTCCCGTTGGCTCGAGGCTGCCTGACCAAAATGGCTGCTGGACCAAAATGGCTGGTGTTGCATGTCGATTCAATCTGGAGTTTTTCGGAGGCTCGAGGCTGCTGGACGAAAATGACCTGTGGTACCAGCCAAAGGGAAAAAATAATGTCCCATTGGCATTTTGGCAAAGCTTGGTGCACAGGGGAAATCTGCCTCAGCAAAATGAGACTCGGAGGTACTGGTGGTTTGAGGGCCTTGAGATCCCCCTCGACGCTGTTTCCTTTTCCCATGTATGCAATTTATCTTCCGCTGTCCGTTGATGCTCTTGGAGTACCACTTGACACATGTATGGACAACATCTTATAATTTCCGCATTTCCCTAGTTATGAATAAATGGAGAACGCTCGCCTCAGAAGAATTAGGCTCGGAGGTACTGGTGGTTTGAGGGTCTTGAGATGTCCCTCGGCTCTTTTTTCCCCCCCATTCCCCGAATATGCAATGCATCTTCCGATGTCTCTTAATGCTCTTGGAGTACCCCTTGACAGATTTATGGTAAGCATCCGTTAACCGCTTGTGTCTTCGCCCGAATACAACATACGGTCATTATAGCTGTATTTGGTGCAACCTTCAGTCCAGATACGTCAACAATGACTGTTCGTTGTATCCAGGGTAAGAAGGTAGTCTGCTCATCTATCCAATTCTTGCTAGCGGTAATATCCAGTAATATCAAGTATGTCAAAGTATGGTCCTTTCGGAAAAGCAGGAATTTGGTGCCTTTGTTTTTAACCTTTTGCTTTCCACGCCTCAGGCTGACATTGGTTCATTGTGTTGCTTTTTTTATGTGCTATGGTTTTGTTCTGGAATGGACGAATGTTTCTCTTGCGCATGTGAACAGTCTGATGATCGGCTCGTGCATGTTGCATGCCGGAAGGATTGCTATGGTGTGGAGGTGAGGAGACTACATCGGTCAAGCACTTAAAAACCTCATGAAGTGTTTGTTCGTGGCATGGAGATGGTTTGTGCACTTTGCCGAATGCCTAATCGAAAGTTTTCTGCATTATGTGTAGTTTATTGTATGGGCCTGTACTCAAAACCATTAGAAGGTAGTACTGTCAACTGGTAGCTCCTCGATGTGGTTATCCCTATATTCCGCTATCCTCTATAGTATATCGTATAATGTGATGCCACCACTGCTTCTAGTGTTGTCGCTGACTGATCTAGTTTTTTTTTAATCTTGTACTCATCCGATCTCCATGCGAGCTCTTCTCCATGCTGTCCAGTTTTGTTCATTGGTGTTTTCAAGTGTGGTATTCTTTCCCTTGCTGATATATCATACAATGTGATGTCGCCACTGCTTCCATTATTGTCAGCCTGGTTTGTTTTTTTGTCTTGTACTCGTCCGTTCTCCATGCCATCTCTTCTCCATGCTGTCCAGTTTTGTTCATTGGTGTTGTCAAGTGTGGTATTCTTTTCGTTGCTGATATCCGCCTCCTGCCATTATCCTCTTCAAACCAATGCCTGGCATCAGTTTAATAATAGGCCTCACACAATCGGCTGGAGAAAGCCCCAAGAAAGGATCAAAGGAGCTCTGTCTCCTCTTCACTGGTGGTGGATGAAGGATCAGCAGAGTGCAAACTTTTAGGAGGATTATTCCTTTGACTAGGCAATTGCATTTTATGCGCTCTTTGTGCCTGAGACCTGAGTACATTGCCGGGAGTCGTATCTGTCTGGATTTTGACGTTTCACCATTTTGTTGTCCTTTGTAAGGCCAGGCGCTCGGTTTACGTGGTACTGTCCGGATTAGTGTCGCCTCTATCTTGATCTCTGAAAGTGTTTCTCAATGTTCTCATCCATGTCTGGAGTATCCTTCTGGTGATGATGATGATTGCTCAGGGTAACCAACCGGTTATCTAGTTCCGTATCGCGGAACTGGCACCGATGGTGGCTGTACTATACGGCAGGTGGGTACCAATGGAAGGACCTGTTGGGCTCCTGAGACCAACCAGGGGGGATCACAGCAACCACGGAAACGGATATTCTGGCTGTTCTTCAGCTGGGGTGGCTGAGAACAACAATAGGCCCAGTCAAAATTGATCACTGGCACATTTTCTTTTATTTTTTGCCCCAAAGTCAGAGAAGGTACAATCGTACACTGGGGATGTCCTTCGGCACATCCGTTAAAATTGGAACGAGACAGAGAAGATTAGCATGGCCCCTGCACAAGGATGACATGCATAAATCGAGAAATGGTTCGAATTAAAAAAAACAAACAAACAATCCTACACTTGGCTACGAGAGAGATATGACATAACCATCAACTGGCGCTTCGAGTTTTGCTTGGATACTAGAGGTCTGACATTGCCATCGAACTGGCCCTTGGAAGAGTTTTGCTTGAATGCTTGAGAGATGACGTAACCATCCAACTGGCACTATGACATGGGGCGTGCTGGTTGAAGAAAGGGCTTGTAGCGGATCCAAGGATCTCCCTTTCTCATTCTTTTCATCATGTGTTCTGTTCAACAGGGGGAGATTGAAGATTGGGAGACGGCTGGAGACCCCAGGAAAAAGGAGTTTGTCCATTGGTAAGTGTTCCATGCATGGTTATGCTTCAGCCATTTAAAATACACCTTGGGCTTCGTTGGCCAAGTGATAGGCCTTTGTGCTGAGTAAGGGAAAAGACACAATTGCGCTAAGATTTGGGAATGCTCCGGTTTGGTGGATTGAGGTGATGGGCCCATACTAGGCCCATAGCCATTGAGCACCTGCATAACGGTCAGCCGTGCATCACTCCGTGACTAAAAATAATGAAAAGGATCCTGCTTGGCTTTGTGAAAAAAGAGTGAAGTCTTTCCTATGCTAGGTGGTTTAAGGTTTGCTAGTGCAGAATCTGCAACTCAAAACCACAGGAGGAATTCTGTTTGACTTTGTCAGTCTTTGTGTGCAAAAATAGAGTGCAGCAATTGGAGCAGAAATAGACACCTTCAGCGGTGAACCGCCTGTTTTTGGTATGTTATATACCTTACCCGTCAATGGAGTGTTACGTTGAAACTTGAAAGCAATTCTTCGCTGCAATTGTTTTGTGTGGGAGCCTCTATGGAAAAGAGTGATACGATCTGTGGAATTTCGTCTGGCAGACACCTTTTTTGAAACTAAAAGTTCACATTCGGTACCAGATGGAGTCTGGTCTGCGTTGTTTGAGCTCTCTGTGGCCTTCAGCAGAACCAAATTTGCATGAACCTTCACATAACTGGTGTAAAAGTGAGTAGTCTTCTGAAGAGCCTCTTCTCAAGAGGGCCTTCTCAAGAGGGCAGTATTTGGTTTCAAGGAATCACAGACTCCAGCACAACTTGGAGAGAGTTTCTGTACCCGATGATTTCGGCAAGACTCCAGATTCATTGACAGCATTGACGGAACTTGGACCTTTGCTGTTTATTCAACTTGATTGTCTAGGCATTGCAAAACTGTGAAACCAACTAGTGGCAGGCAATGGCGTCCGGCGTTGGTAGCTGGGTGTCTCCTACTTGTCCATGCCTATCCATGTTCCTGGGTATGCAGGAATGTTTTGCATTAACCTGCCAGAACACGGCCCCAGCCTTGCTGAAAAAGAAACTCGTCACCTACAAAGATTTTGGAGGCTCGGCCTACCGGACCGCAATGGCTGGCGGCGCCAGCCAAAAAGAAAAGAAGTGCCCCGCTGGTGGTTCGGAAAAGCTTGGCGCGCAGTAAGGCACCTGCACACCTGGGTGCACTGGTGGTTTAAAGCACCAGTACACGACACATCGGCCCGCGGGTGTCAGCACGAAACCCGCACCACTTCGGCAGCCGCCAATTTTTGTTTTTCAACAGTGCCCCACGCCGCACGGACCCTCCGAGTTTTGCTTGTGGCGACAAAAAACTTTCTGCAAGGCTGGGGCTGTGTACTTGCGGCTTAACACAATTAGAATACTCCTTAGTCACCTGAACTAACTCCCCACCAATAGATCGAGCCTTTCACAGGTTGCTGAGGATGGCTGCTCGTATCATCACCCTCAGCAGACCTGTGACTGATTGGGGGAAAAAAACACAAGGTGCCCGTTAGTAATCCTGGCCGGAGAAGCAGTTGGTGCAGCTCACATCTCCGTTTGTCACTCTGGACAGACATTTCATAGTGTTTTGTGCCCACAAGGTCCACGTGTACAATTGGTCAACATGCAAAGGTGACGATCATTGAATCAACTGTCAAGGTGGAGGCAGAAGTTTGTAGGCTTCAAATAGGGACCACGCTCGTGAACTGAAGATGGCGGAAGGTATATGGCTTTAATGGGTTGTGTCCCAGCTTGTTAACGCTTTCAGAATACATCGGGCGGCTGTTCAGTATTCAAATGAAAAGCATGTCAGGGAGTGCAAGTTAGAGTGGCCGTCGTATTGGTAGGCAGTGAGATGGAAACACTACACCACCACTCAACCGAAACCTTTTTTGCGGATCCGTTCGCTTGCTGCAGACTGGCCTTGCGGAACACAGACCACTATGGAAGCAAAGACAGCTACTGCAACAAACTGCAGCTGCAAATGTGAACCATGGCAGATTTAAGTAGATGACGGATTTCAGCAGTGGTGGTTTCTTGTCGAAGCTGCTGCTCCCTTCACGTACTGACCTGCACCATCCCCCTCTGTCTGGTATACAGGCACAAAAACTGGGTGTGTTGGTGGAAGTGCTTGTTTAAGTTGATGGAAAGGTGTGTGTTTGCCCTGGCTTTTAGTGTTCCCTGTGCTTTGTTTGTTCCTCTCCCTTGCTGCTGACCAATCTATGGCGAGTGAATAAGTTAATGATGTCTGGCGTGTTCTCCTGGTCAGGAGTTCATCATCACGAGGCAAAAGAAGGGTTGCAGCTGACCTAAGCAATGTCAGTCAACAAAGAGGTGGAAATATAGATCTTACTCGTGCAGACAAGTGTGAAATGGAGGGTATGGCCAACTCAGTCTTGCTGTCCGAGAAGGATGCTGATCAAATGTCAAGGGATGTTTCAACCACCTGTACAGGCTCTGCGGACGTGATGCATGTGCATGCCCCGATAAACTATCTGGCTACAAAGAACTCACATTTACCAGGCGAAGGCGTGGAAGAAAGTGTTGTGGAAGTTGTTGAGAATCATAAAAAGACAGCAGTGGATGGTGTGCAGTCAATGACGAAAGGCAGCAAGGAGAGTAGGCAGAAGAGTGAGGGGAAGGTTGGTAGGCCGAGCAGCCTGGGCACGACTGACGCAGAACAACCAACTATGGGAAATGAGAATGCAGGACAGGTTGTACTTGCGCAAGAACAGAAGGGAAATGAAGAAAAGGAACCAAGGGTGTCGAATTTGATTTATATGGATGATGGGAAGAAAACTACCAAAGCGAGGAAGAGGAAGAGGGAGGCAGATGCTGATAACGATAAACTCAGAAGGACAAAGGAGAAGACAGCTGTGGACCAACAAATGGACTTGTTGACAGATGCAGACAGGAAGGAAGGTGAAAGAGTGGATTCTGTTTGTAATGATGGGAAATCCAAGTCGGCATTTAATCAGGAGATTTCTTCAGAGGTTGAAATGATCCAGGTTCAGATGCAGGAGCAGGACAAGGGGAGCCATATCAATATGGAAGAGAGGCAGCGAGATGGGGTGGCTCGAGGAAGAAATGAGAGGCAGATGCAAGAGGGAGACGAGGACGGAACAACCATTGGAGGGAAGGCAACGTTGGCTGGAGGAAGGAATGAAAGGCAGGCACATGGAGGAGATGAGGACAGAACGAACGTTGGAGGGAAAACAAAGAAGCCAAAGCAGTCTAGGGTCAAATCTAGGCAAATCAAGGAGACGTCTGGGGACGCAGTGAGAGAAGATGAAGATATAGAGCGAGATGCAAGTCCAAATGGACGAGAGCGAGAATTAACAAATGCAAGAGCAGGAAGGCTGCGAGAGGGTTCTGAGACTGATGGTGGAAATCCTGGTGAGACAGCAGAGTTTGCGAGAAAAGAGAAGAGCAAGGAGATGGCAGTGCAGAGGAAGAGTAGGGCAGTCAGTGGCGTGCAGAGGAGAAATAATCGGGGATTTGGAAGGATGCGACCTAACAGCGAAGTTTCTGATCGAGGAGTACTGGATGGAAATGCCCGAGAAACTTCTGAATCTGCCACGCCTGCATTGACAGAAAAAACAAGGGAGTGGAATGACCTGGGTATGCCCGAAAATTTTATTATGCCAGATCAGCTTCCAGAGCTGAAGCAGGGTGATAGATTGGCCCAAGAAGCAGGTAAGTTGGGGCTGAACGTGGAGAGAACCGTAGATGGGGCGAAGGATATGGCGGAGGCTGATATTGCTGCAGCAAGCAGCAATGCAGCAACCGCAGCAGCAGTAGGCAAGAGGGCAAAGTCACAGTCACCGTCAAAGGGTCAGAGAGTGGTTGTGGATGGTAATGCTGACAAAGGAGGGCAGTGGAGGAAGTTGAAGTCGCCGAGAAAGGGCTCTAAGCAGGATGTTTATGTGGATGGTGGAGCATCCAACAAGGAGGGGGAGAAGGCAGCCGGAGTGGACGAAAGTGCTGAGCAAAGCCCTGACGATAGCTCATTGGCAATGCCACAGCAGACTGCAGATCATGATTCAGCAAAAGAAAATGGGAAGCTCGAAACAGAGGTCGACATTGCTAGCGAGAGGGGAAAGTGTGTGCCCAAGGCAAACCCCAGCGAGGGGATTGTGAAGTACCGGAAGAAGCATAATGCTGCCGATGTTCGCAAATCAAATGATGCCTCTGTTGATAAATGTAAAGGAAATCTGGTTCTCGCCTTGAAAGGAAACTTCTTGTCAACCAAGGATACAGAATACAAGTCAAAGGAGAAGGAAAATAGGAAGAAAACTTTTTGTCCAAAGCCACCCGAAAAGGGTGAAAGACATAAAGAGAGTGTGAGAGGGCAGAAGCGGTTGTTTGCTCTAGACTCAGATGCAGGGGCAAGTGAGGCTGCAAGATTGAAACGATCACGAGGCAGTGTGGAAGATGCATCTAGGTCCAGATTAACAGCTTCTGAGGTAGCAGAAGGCGCTGAAACGGAGAAAGAAAGTCCTCCTGTAATGGGAGAGACGTTGAGTAAACAGGGCGACAGAAGCAAGGCAAGTGGTGTAGAGCGCACGAATGTTGTTGCCAACGGGGATATGCGGCGGGGCGAAACTTCAGAGGTTGGAGAATCTCCGAGAGAGGCTGCAACGGGAGACAAGGGGGAAAGTGGCCAGGAGAAAGCAACTGTAGATCGAGGGAAGCCAGCAGAGCTATCCGCAGGAAGGCCTTGGGAGGAGGTGCCAAGTATTTGCAGGGAAGAAGGTGCCGGGACGAGCATAAGGAATGGAAATGAAAACGAGTCTGGCGAGTTAACAAGTCTGCAATCCCCCATGGGTGGTGGAGTAAGGGCAGCCGAAGTAGAAAAAGGGATACAATCCCTCTCTAGAGCAAGGGAAGGGGTAGGATTGACAGCAGAGGAGTCCAGGATCAAAGGCGTAATGACAGATTCTCATACTGGAGATGACGCACAGTGGAGGAGTTGTATGCCTCAGGAACATGATGTCGAAAGGACTGTGACAGAAAATGGTGCAGTGGGGGCTTGCCAGAGAACGGAAAGTGTGACAGAAGCGCAAATGAAGGGGGCAGACGGTGAAGTAGGGACAGAAAGGGTAGGAGATGTAGATACTGTAAAGAAAGACTGTGTAAGATTAGCTCAGAGTCAGCGATCAGGCCTGGGCTTGATAACGCCAGCAAAAGTGAGAGCACCAGGAAAGCTGGAAAAGAGAAAATTAAAAGCAAAGGGAAAATCAAAACAGCAGCCCACTCATCCTGTTGTCAGGGAAGCCTGTATTGCGAGTGCAACACCAGAAAAGTGCATCCCATCCCAGCCCATTGCCGGTGGACATGCAGCTGCGCCAGAAAAGCACAAGCACCGGTCCAAGTCTGCAGAAACAGTGGATTCTCAAAGGTGAGGTGGTTTCTCATTTGTTCAATTTGTGAACTGACGTCCCAAATTGTCTACGGGATTGTTGCTTCTGCTAGACTGATCATACCATAACCGAAGTCTTTCACATTCAGTGGATTGCATGAGGAAATTCAGAGGAATGGCAAACACTTATTATAACTTGTAACTGACGTACGTTTTCTGCCTGCTGTTTGCCCTATCTCGTACATAGAGTACGCCCGAGTGTTTTGCAGCTGCCCTTCATTAGGAGAAGTGTTGTGCAGCACCGCTGTGAACGACAGCGACCAATAGATTGGCCCTCGAGATACAAATCCTCACCAGAAGCTAGATATCACTAGTTAAGTGTTGCTCTTGTCGAAGGATATGTTCGCAAATCTCTACGTTTTCTGCCTGCTGTTTGCCCTATCTCTTACATAGAGTACGCCCGCGTGTTTTGCAGCGGCCAAGCGTTGTGCAGCACCGCTGTGAACGACAGCGACCAATACAAATCCTCGACAGAACCTGGATATCATTGTTAACTGTTGCTCTTGCCGAAGGATATGTTTGCAAATCTCAGATTGATCAGTTTTGTTAACAAGTCGGGTAAGGGTTTGGGCTCCCTGATGAAATGCTTCAGGGTAAGCAAGCGTCGTATGGACTCTGTAGGGTCCAGACTTTTGGCTGGTGCTTTCACAGCCGTTTCACAGGCAGCCTGTCATGCTAAAATATATATATGGGCATGTGGTAACCCGGCAAGTATTGAATGCAAGTATTTAACCCACTGAGCAACACCCCAGCGATTCCTGTCCTGCATCACATTCTCTTGCCGACAAATCTGCAGCTGTCCCAGTTCGACAACTAATTGATGATGGATGTCGTAATGTGGAGAAAGCCTAGGAGATGGCATGGTTTGTGTAGATGGGTCAGATGACAAATCCATGTTCTGATATGTAGTTAGAAAACTGACAATGCGGCTTTTCGTGGACTGCAATTTGTGGTGTGTCGTTTTTCAATTTTGCTTTCAGTCGCCAGCTTCTTCTCAAGCGACAGTTTTATCACTCCCACACAGCTCAGGTATGTTTGTTCCCAGCAAAAATATTATATCCAAATTCTTGTGGGTTATAGCAGTGTGCCTTTAAACCCCCAATTAAGTGCAGAAGCATCCAGGGTGAACCTTTCGCATAAGTGAATATTTGTCAGAATCTCAATGGTCTTGGCTGGTTAATCTATGTCAGTGCTATGCTTTTTATTAAAGGCAGTCTTTAGCAGTTTTCTGTCTCCTCTGAAAGTAGGTGAAAAGGAAGTGTTTCATGCTGTGTGCTTTTTGTCTTCTCCTCATCTGGGCCCTGTACAGGAAGGGCATGTGCTTGTCAAGGTGTTCCTTATTTCCTTCCTGTCCTGAGGATGCTATTTCTTGTTCTGGACTGGGGATGCTATTTCTTGATATGGCAGAGCCACATGTCTGGGTATCGTCGGATGCGCACGTTGGGCTGTTGGGTGAATTGAGTGGCTGCCTTCGTGACTATCATGTGTATTGATGGTGTCCATCTCTGGGATTTTTTCGACCGAAATGCATAGTAAGGAAAATGGCCCTTGAGGGGATCGTGTGCTCATGGTCTGGCAGAACCATGAAGAGGCAATCAGTATCATTGAGTTGGGGACACCAGGCAGTGCATGCAGAGCACCAATCGCAAAACTCGGTGGCCCTTGGTGTTCGAGGCGCTTTTCTTGTTTTCATGCTGGGGCCCACGTAAGGTCATCCCTCTGGCTTGTGTGCTCGCCGCCTTCCATTTGCTCCCATCGGCTTAAGATGGGCTTGCTGTTGGTGGTGTCGGGCTCGAGCTGTGGAGGTACGTCGGGCCTTGCCTTTTGATCTCAGGTCGGGCAGGAGCACCCGCCCAGTTTAACCATATAACTAAGCGGAGGAAGAGAAACCGACAAGGATTCCATTGGTAGAGGCGAGCGAACCAGGAATAGCCCAGACTGAAAATCCGGGGGCTCTTTTGTTCCCTGAATTGTAGTCTTGAGAGGCAACCTCTGCAGCGGGCCGTGTGCCCCTTCCAGGGAACCTGCACACCTTAAGCCGATGGGAGCGAACGGAAGGTGGAGAGGGTGGTTAGATGGAGGAGGAGGTAGAGGAAGATTTCCTTTATGAACTGCGGAAGTTTAGTTGTGAGGGTCTCGATGCTGTTGCTGTTCAAACGAGTGATGGAAACGCTTTCGTGTTTTGTGCGACAGTGAGCTTTTCTTCTACTTTATTCCGCGTAAATGTCAGTTTTCTCTCACCGTATTGAATGGAGAGGGATTGACAAGGGGTGGGGGAGTCCCCGAACAGGCAATAGGGAGAAAGCTATTGGTGGAGGCGAAGGGGAATGGAAGAGAGATGGTAGTGGAAAGAGCGTGGTAGATCGTCAGTAAGGCATTTTCTTGATGTGCGCACCTTGGTTACCGCCCTATTTTCAAGTTTGTGTTTCAAGCAGTTGTTTCTTTTTTAATGTGCATTGTTGTTTTTGTTTCCCCCTTTTTATTCTGTGAGATCCTGGGCTACCGGCCAGGCTGTCCAGGTCACCTTGTTTGACCGGGTGACCCGGGCGTGAAAGGACCAGGAAAGGGCTCACACACACACAAAAAAAAGCTCTGAAAAAAAAACTATGTGACGCACGAAAATAAACTGAACAGCTTCTCGCCTCAGGGTCACATTGAAATTCTTTACCAAATTCAAAACAAAAAATAAGTTTTATATTTTAACCATGGTAACCGCGGACCCGGACACCGGACATTTCCGGACCGTTTTCCGGACTTGTGTCTGGACCGGTCCGGACTGTCCGGTGATCCGGACAGTACCGGATACCCGGACATCACCGGACCTGGACTGTCCGGACCGACTGGACAGGGACAAGATGTCCGGAAAAAAAAAAAAAACAAACAAACAAACAAACAAACAAACAAACAAACAAACAAACAAACAGAAAAGAGAAGAAAAGAAAAGAAACGGGGAGGGAGCTCACCTCGTTCGCACTTCGTGGCGGAGCACCTGCATCAAACGGTCTACAGTTCATTGAACAAGTGGCACACAAAGTTGGACTGTCGGGCAAGCACAGTTCAAGACTTCAAGTTCATTCAAGATCAGCAGCATTCAGCAAACACATTCAAGTTCACTGAAAGTTTGAAACACGACAGAGTACAACAAAGACAGACAACGCAAG